GAAACATTTTTTTATCTTGTTTTCAGTATATACACAATTTCCTTCATTTAAATACTTGTTCCTGATATGTAAAATCTTACAAAAAATATTTTAAAAACCAAATATTTTTCCCACTTTGAAAATTTGGTGTCTGAAATGGAGTCAAAAATAATTCCACGAAAAAAAATCATCATTTTGTAAAGCGAGAAACATATTTAAAGATGTTTAAATTTCCACAAGGCGACTCTCTAAAAGGAGCTTCGTTCAAGATTATTGAGTTTGAGTTATGGGTTTTGAGCAATCTTGCTTTGAAAAAATTGCAAAAGGTTTCTTTTTGCTGTATGAGCTGCACGAGATTACGTGAGAAAGTTATTCGCTGATAACAATATGTAACGCGTTGTTTTTGGAGGTCAACCCTGGTAATTCAGATGAAACATCGCCATAAGTAGTACTCGTGTATTCTCGAGTAATTCAACCTGACGAAGAGTATAGCTACAAAGGGTACAGCAGAAAATCAAACTTAGAGTGGAGGGAAAGATTAGGTGGGATCCATTTAACTTTTTCCTTTGAAAACTTGAACAACTTTTTCTCCTTCAATGCGTTGTTTTACTTGTACCACATATCAGTTTACTCATTGAAAACCAACGCTGGAGAGACATCACGGCTCGAGATTTTATGACCAGACAGTCTCCATCATTTTTTGCTATATCCAGACCGCCGCGACCAAAACTGGGTCGAAAAAGAAAATCTTACTACTGTTGAAAAAACTAAAGAGCTGAATGATGGTTGCATGCTCACGTTTGAACGTTTCAACTGGTTTCATATCCTTTTTAACTACATTTTTCAAGCCTTTTCAAGTAGTTTTGAAGAAGTAACTGTTTAAATTATTCTTTTCATTTTCATCAAAATGCATTTGGTAACAAAAAAACTCGGGCAACTAAAAAAAGCTGTTTTTAAGTATTGGAAAGGTTTGAAAACTGATTTTTTTGATGACACTTATTCAATTCATTTTCACTCAAGAAAATAGCATGAGAAATGTGCGGTAGCACGTTTTTTGGTTGTTTGTTCACTACCTGGGATGACCGAAACTTCTTATCATACAATTTCCATGTATGAGAAAATTCTTCTCATACAATTCCATACAATTCATTACGTACAGAAAATTGCATGAAATCTCTAAGATAAACTTTTTTTCATAAAAGAAAATTGTATGATAGGTGTTTTTTCATAAACTAAAACGTTTTCGGTTGTGTTTGCAGCCGCAAAACAAGTAACAAAGACCTTGGTTTCTCAAAGCACCAAAGGTTGGACGATCTTTGCATTTACAATGCATAGAAAACGACCAGAGTTCGGCTGCCTTTCATAATTGATATAACAAAATTAACCAATTTTTTTATTTTTGGCAAAATTTTCTAATGGTGATTATTTTAAATTTGTGAATTTTCAAATTATCAGACATTGATCAAGTCATATATAAACACCCCATACAAAGGAAGGAGAAATTTTTAGCGTTTTTGAAAATAAAAATAAGTCAAATGAATATAAAAGCCAATATTATTGTATCCAAGACAACGTTTAGCACACGAAAATTTAAATTTTGCATGCAAAAATTTTTTTTCGAAAAATGTTTGTTTGCGTACGAAATTCGATATGCTGTTAAAAAATATATTTTGGCCCAAATTTTCAAAATTACTTGAAAGATTTTTTGTGTCGCCATCAAAAAAATGCCAGTTATACAATTTCCATATATGGGATTTGTATGATAAGCAATTTTTTCAAAAAACGAAAACCCCGTTTTTTCACCAGACTATTTTATTAGAATCAAACAGCCACAGAAACAGGTTTATATCTTTTTTCAACCGTTTTAAGAAATTGTATGAAAATTGTTACACAAGCATTTTTCCACACACTTGATGTATGGAATTGTATGATAAGCATTTATGGTGTATTGAGGTCAACCCGGGTATGTGAGTACAAGTTATTCAAGCCTTTTTTAAACATTACAGTGATGACTGCGACAGCTGGCTTCCTAATATAATTATGATTGAGCCTAAGAGTTGATGAGGATGCTGTTGGGTAGAGTCGAGTAATGTTCAGCGGCAAGTTGATAATGTAAAACCAAAAAATATCAGTTTTGTTCAACTTCAGAATGCAAGTCAAACAAACAACGGATCTACTTAACAATCTCCCCCTCCCCCTATTGTATCTACTAAAGAATCAACACCCCTGTAAATATAAACAGTAAATTCGCACGCACAAGAGCGTTGAATGTAATTTCGAATTTTGCTGCATTCTGATTGGTCGAAAACTCGCTGCAATAACCTACTTAAGAATCTCCCCCCCTTTCTTGAAAGGGGGAAGATTTTTAAGTAGATTGCAAACAATTTCCATTACTTTGATGATTCTTAAATAAAAAAACATTTTTTTTGAAATTACATTTGAAACATTTTTTTTATCTTGTTTTCAGTTTATACACAATTCTCTTGATTTAAATACTTGTTCCTGATATGTAAAATCTAACAAAAATTGTTTTAAAAACCAAATATTTTTCCCACTTTGAAAATTTGTTGTGTAAATTGAAGTCAAAAATTAATTCCACGAAAAAAATCATCATTTTGTAAAGCGAGAAACAAATTTTCAAGATGTTTAAATTTCTACAAAGCGACTCTCTAAAAGGAGCTTCTTTCAAGATTAATGAGTTTGAGTTATTGGTTTTGAGCGACCTTGTTTTTTGTATGCTTTGAAAAAATTGCAAAAGGTTTCTTTTTGCTGTATGAGCTGCACGAGATTATGTGAGAAAGTTATTCGCTGATAACAATATGTAACGCGTTGTTTTTGAACTGTTGATTAATTTTCAGAGAAAGCATGTAGTATAAACAAAATTCTGAAAATCCTTTTTTTGAAGGCTTGAAGATGATTTCAAATGATAATTTCACTGCTTTCAAATGTTCTAATCGATCAATTTTTTTTAGCTTCTCAACTCGTTTTGATTGAATGCTGAACTCGGACAAAAATTATTTTTGATTACGACAAAATGACCCGTAACAAAATGACCCGTTACGACAAAATGACGCGAATTCTCCCGATGCCATTCAACTTTTGTGAAGCAGTGAAAACATTGATTAGAAATCTGATTTTTTTTCCATTTTTTTAAAACGTCCATCACTACGTTACGCCGAGGACAAACTGATGTTACTAGTGTCTAGCTCTCATTTTTAAAAAAGATAACCGGCTTAAATAGTTTCTCACCCGTTAACAGCATGAAAGATCTTCCGCCTTTATTGCCCAATTCAGCCAGATTAGCAGTTTTGGTAACCCGGTTGCTCATCAAAAAACTACCAAAGATAAAAGGTTAGGCCGATTCAAATCGACTAGTGTACAGTGTTTTTGATTGCCAGACATGCAAACATTTTGCCCATCGCAATAACACACCAATTTGACGACAATTGATGACTTTTGGAAAGAACATTTTGTAAATTAATGCTGTTCTGGAAAAGCAAATAAAAAATAGGAAATGGATGAGTGAATTTTTACTTTATCACACTTCTGATCTTTCATCATGTCTCAATGAAACTATCCAGCAGCCAAGCCTTTGCCCACACTGACTCCGTTGCTCTACAATTACAATTTTTGCGCCCCTGTGAAAAGTTTTAATTTTGCATTCTTAAGTGACAAAAAAACGATCGAGTTTTCTTGGTACTTGCTTTATACTTTATCCTTTCTAGAAAACTTAATGCTAATCTATTGTGATCTACGTCCTCTTCAACTTCTCTAAACTCGTGTGTTTTATGCTCTCTTCAATTGAGGTAATAGCGAAACTTTAACACATATTTTCCACTACAGTTCATAGGACTTTTTTTCTAATAGCTTTTGAAATGTTTTGAAAGTAACTTCTTGCTCTTTGGGTTGGAGATTTAAGATATAGCATTAACATGAAGTGAAATTCTACCGCACCAACAAAACCCAGAAAAAGAAAGCCTCGCTCAAAGCTATTTTATTCTGAAACGACTGAAAAAGCATTTCATCGAAATAAAGAAGCGACAGACGACCAAAAGGCAGATACCTATATCTATGAACTGAAAAAATTAAAAAATTACCAAAGCCTTACTGCGTCAGTTAGAACAGATGTCAATGTATCTCGTTGATTGTTGACCATCCCTCTGAAGATACAACAAGCAGCAGCCTTATTGACACCTGCACAGATATTGAGGATCAATTGAACAACAGTCGTGGCTCAAGAAAAGATCAAACCAAATGTCTGAATAAAAGAACCACGTCATGCATAAGTCTTCTGAGGTTTTTCTCGAAAATCCAAAAAACAAACTTGACGAGATCAATAAAATGCATCTCGGAACATGACGGTGATAAAGTAGAATTGCTGAGTTTGAGATTTAGAGTAGCAAAAAATTGAGTCAACAATCCTAATTACTAAAGCACAGTTCCGGGAAAACCCTTCCCAACGCGCTATCACTCTGAAACACCAGTAGAAAGCAAATCAACTAATTGAAAAAGCAAAAAACGACGAAGATAAGAACGTCAGCATCAGTGAATTGAAAACCGACCCCGCTTCCTTACTTGAAACAGATGACAAAATATCTTGAGGACCATCACTCTGAAAATACAACAAGAAGCAACATTATCCACACTTTCTCAGCTGTAGAATTTAGCTCAACTGAACACGATTTTTGGAACACTAATCCGAAAAAGTTTAGTCTTATGTAAACTGAAACAAGGAGGTGGTAAATGCGGCTTTTCTATCAACAACAGATGGCTCCTTTCAGACCCTTAGAGCTTATTTTCGATAAAATTACTCAATGATTCGAAGCAATCACTGCCCCTATAATAATGTGTTGCAAAATGGAAATAGTAAAAAAAACATTAAATTGTCACCCTTCTCGCAATGAGAGAGGTGTATTAAAAAATCTTGTTGTGTCTACGATATCTGAAACTGGTTTAGTTTTTACTTTTTTATTTTGAAACAAAGTGTTGATTTTTCTTCTGTTTATTGCTTTTAGGGGAAGGTGTAGAACATACGCTATGAAAGATTAGTTTTTATTATTTACTTTCTAAAAACTGAATCATCACAATGAACTTTTATCTATCCTCGCATTTCACCTGATAAAAACTTCGAGTCGTTGTCTATTTCTTCACCTCTGTTTGAGTTTTCGTTCAACTTCTCCGCTTCAAAGTTGTGATAGTTTTGTCTGTTCTATTTTTGTGTTTTTTTCAAACAATAATTTTTACACTTAAAGTTTCGTCTAATTTTTTTTCTTCTGTCTTGCATACCACCTAAAGATTCGGACCAACTTCACTGTCGTGGTTTTTTCTGTTTCTGATCTTCCTACAATTAGATGCCAGGCGTGAAGTAATTATCTGAATTTGTTTCTTCAGATATGAGTTGTTCTGTGCAAATAGGAAGGGGTTAAGCAGAAACGTGCACCCATAGAGTAAGAATGTGACCATCATTATGGTGAACAGTGCTCTCCCTTCTACAAAAGAGGGGGTACAATTTGTGATAGAAGGGTCCCAAAAATCTACAAAAATCCTCTAATAACGAGGCCAAGCTGTGTATATTTTGAAAACGTAAAATTGTTTGTGTCAATTAGTGGAATCATAAAAAGAATTATTTGCATTGACATTAATGGCGAAAAACTAAAACCGAGGGGTCGGCAGACTTAAATTGTTTTGGAGCTCAATAGCAAACACCGGTAATGTTAGGTTTATCGGTATGTAGAGTGATAATATGCAAAATACACGTCATCAAAAAAATCAATTTGTTTGGTGTTACTTAAATCAATTGCAAGCAAGTCGGTTCGCCAAAGCCCATCAAGTACAAACGAGAAAACTTTCGGAAACTAGCGAGCGATTTTCTATGCATTTACTGGTTTGGTATTGTTTATAACCATCCGATGTTGAACCCCGCTCGCTAGTGGACCCTTTTTGCTCCAACCAATGAAAATGGGTTGGATTTTTGTATTCGGGTGTATTTTAACTTTTCCCTTTTTTCAACTTTTTATTTTCCATGCAAAATCAGGTACCACAAATAGTCATCGGACTGGATCGAGTTATATATCATATCAAAGTTCTTCAAGTCGTAAAGCGAACGACCTTAAAAAAGTTTAAATACTTTTACTAGTGTCGATAAAAACCAATTTGAAAATTTTTGATTTTTCGTCTAATTTTGAGCGAATGAGGCTTACATTAGCTTCCTGCAATGAGGCTCTATAGTTAACAATCGATTATTATGAGTTTTCATGGCCTGTCTCCAAAAAAACTAAAATAATCAATTATAGAGAACTAACATGCGTTTAAAAAATAAACAAAGTGGAAATCAAATTAATCAATTGATTACCGCCCCCCCCCCCAAATTATTCTTTTTTTTTTTGGGGGGGGGTAGATGAGAGGGGGTAGGGCGTGGTATGCAGGTGGCGTGGTGGGTAGGTGGAGGGGGTGGGTGAGTAAAAGCTAGATGGGGGGAAGCTAAGTGGGGTGTAGGTGGGGGTAGATGGGGGTATGTGGCAGGCGGGTGTGAGTTTAGGTGGGTTGAGCGTAGGCGGGATGAGCTGAGCTTAGGTGGGGTGGAGGGTCGTTCGTCAGTAGAAAAAAAATGGTTTTTCTTAGCTTAACTAAATCTGAGTTGGTTTAGAAATCGAGTAAGCTGCGAGTAAAACAAAAAAGCTGCAAATTGTTTCAGAAAATTTAGCAAAAATTTATAGATTATGAGCCATAATAATCCAAAATAATGGATTTTAAATGGATTATAATCGATTTTTTTTCTGTAAAATGAATGGATTAGAAAGGATTATAACTGATTGCCTGGTCCCAAAGGGTCATTATATTCGATTATAAGGCCAACCTTTCTGACAACAAAAATCTACTTTTATCCATAGAACCTAGCTGCGGTTTATTTGTGCTTAATTTAAGCGTTAACAATTTAGTTTTAATCAAGAATAGTTTGTTTAAATTTTCCGAAAAACAATGAAAAGTTTGAAATAACTTTTTAAATTTTTTTAAAAGTTTTTTTTACTTTTAGTTTTTTCGTTTTCTTGCATTTTTTACAAAACCTGTTTTTCAATTTACTTTTAGTATAATGACTGTCAAATATGCCTAACTTATAGTTTTTTTTCAGATCCTATTATCACACCACGCAGAAAAAATGACACTAATTTGAAAAAAAAGAAACGTTTTTTGTTTTGGTTTTTTTAGGACCACAGTCGGAAAATTCCGTTCTACTTGCACAGTATCCGCCTATCCTTGTTCAGAAATATTTTTTGTTGGGACCCTTCTATCACGAATTGTACCCGTAGGTGGCAGTGTGGCCATTAGAAGAGTCAAAATACAGTTGGGTACTGACAGGGCGAGGAACATGATCCCCACAAATAGAAATGTGGCTGTCATTTTGAAGCGGTTCTTCTGATTTTTCCTTTCAATATTGTTGTTGGTAGTAGGTCGCTCGATAACAAAATTTTTGTCTTTGTTCATATTTGCATCATTCGTGTCTTAATAGAATTACAGGTTGAACGAAAACTTGGACAAGTTTTCTATGATTGTATTCTAGTGGTTTTTCGTTGAAAACTGTTTTTTTTAGACTGGGCTGTTTCACAGAAAAAATACGACTAATTTTTATTTGAACCTGAATAGTTTTGAACAGAAGAGTTCTATATCTTCGAAAACTTCATTTCTTATATTCATTAACTGTATGACAAAAAACGTTGTTTAGTTAAAACTGTTTTTACTTAAGAACCTCAACCCATTACTAGAAATTTTTTGATCAAACAATTACATCATTGTCTTACTATTTTTCCTCTAATGATTATAAAATATTTTTGAGAAACAATAGTTTCAACCTGTCTGTTTTGTCTTCTTCGATAGGACTCTGAAGCAAAGCGTGTGCTTGACCGGTGCCATAGCCAATTGCATACAAGATACATTGAACTGCCGTGATATTACATGGTACAGAGCAATGCTCAAAGACCCCTCGATCAAAACCAACGCAAGTCTAAACGAATACCAGAAGAGGTTAAACCGGTTCAAGTCCTCCCTGTCTTTGAAGAATCGCAAACCCACCAATGAAAAAGTCGAGCTGATTATAAGAATTATAACCAATGAGATGCTAATGTTGCAGTTTGTGAAGATGACTTTGTAGGAAAAAGGTCTCATAACTGCAATATATCTGTTACTAGCGACCAGAACCTGAAGACACAGCGAGGCAGCTGATAGTCCCAGGTAGGGAAAGTACACCGAACCATTCACAAACCCCTGCTCAGACAATGACCGAGGAATGAACAAACTAGCCGATGATAGCCATATAAGGAAAATCCCGTAAAGGGAATCTGTGAACAGAGTGAATATCACCAAGTATTCAGAAGGTCGTTTGTTCTGTTTAAGTGATAAAATCAAACAAATTGCGAAGTTCGACACAAAAGCTAAGAAGCCTATAAACATAAGAGAATAAAAAATGAACGTTAGGACTGAAAAAGCCATTTTTGAAAGATGACCTATTTAGATTTTATAATTGTTTCAAGTTTTAAAATGATATGTTGAATGTTTTTGGTCTTTAGAAAACCAGATTCAGAATGCTATGATTTTTTCGGATTCGGCCGCTCGAAATACTTAACAAGAAGTTCACATTTAATGGATAGGTCAAATAAAGTTTAGAAAAGGTTAAATGTCATGTAAAATGAGTCGTTATTTCGGTTGAACTTACCATCAGCATCTGATTGATATTTAAGTATTTGTTTGAATTCGTATCTAAACGAAAATCTATAGAAGAAAAGTTCTTGTCATTCAAAAAAACTACATCAAGTCTCTAGAGAAAAACAGTATCCTACAATTGTCACATTCTTTTGAAGTTTGTGTTCAATTCCCGCAACAAAACTTCATTGGGTAAAAATCAATTGTAATGGAATTTTGTCGGCGCATAACAAATAAATTAGAAAATGAGACAAAAATAATTGATTATAGTTGATTATAATTAAATTTAAAACGGTGTAAATTTATTTGCTTACAATTGACTAACAAATTATTATAATTGATTATAATTTAGCTTCAAGAAAAAAATCGTAATCGATTATTAATTCATTCTAAACGTTATATTCTGAATTTTGGTAAGACTGGTACTTATTTCACAAAATATTCGATTATTAACGCTTGAAACTGGATGCGGGCCCAAAATCATTTCACCAATTATCCCCATCCCAGAATCAGCAACATTCCCATCCAACCGGCCACCGAAATAAGTTACTCTGGGGTAGGAGTTAAACGTGGGGGGAATTGCAAAAAAAAACAGAATAATTAAGACAGCATTCAATTCCAGCGAGACACAAAATAACTAACTTGAGTTTGAACTTATTATGAACAATTGAAAACAAAAAATATAAAAGAAAAGGATTACATTTAATTATAATCGATTATATTGGATTGGGTTTCGTTTGATAAAATATTTTTGAAAATTAGTTGGAAAGAATCCATTAAAGAAGTGGATTTTGCTTTGAAAAATATGAACAATATAAATCATTTCTAATGAAAAAAAAAAACGGTTTTATTTTGAATTTTAAAGAGACAGGCTACAAAATACAATTATAGGCTGTCAAATTACTGGGCGGGTTAACTTACAATTATTTTGGCTATATGACCACAAAACGGATTCTTGTGATGGAAAAACGTTTTTATTTCAATAATATGAATTTGAACTTCTATCTATTAAAAAAGAGGACTTGAATTTTTATCTATAAAAACTAAATAGAAATAATATAAATTATAAACATGACGAGTAAAACCAACATAACATCGTCGTCTCTTTTGGCGCCATTCAAAACACAGGCAAACTTGGTCTCATGATCTATCAAAGCCCTCGAAGACAGCCTGACTCTGGACTACTTTTTAAGTAGATGCAGAATAATATTCAGATGTGGCGACACTTAACTGTGTTGTCAGTGATTCTGTTGAATTAAATCATCAGTAATTCTGTTGAAAGATTTTTTTCTGGTTTTGACCCAAGCAAGGCTGACTCAGTGATGCCCTATGCATCAAAGTCTTCCATGGACAGGTAATTTGCGCCTGCTTTTTGTTCAGACCTCTGAAACCGAGGAGGGAGTTTGCATTTGGGTGTGTTTTGGTTTTTTCTTTTTTTTGAAGTTTCCACTCAAAATCAGCCACCACAAATAATCATTAGAAGGAGTCGACTATTATATCATTACCATCAAAACCCTACATAAGACTTCCAAAAACATACCTGCCAATAATAAACACACGAGACCTACAAACGCAATTTAATCCAGGCACACGAGTTTTTTTGAGTTTCTTCTAGCGTCTGCTTGATGCTACAATACGCTATGGATGTAGAATGAAAAATGATAGACATTGAATAAATGAAAAAAAAAATTCGAAATTGATAAATCTCGAATGAAAAAATCAATTTAAATCGATTTAATTCCGTTTTAATCCCTTTGAAAATAAAAACAAATTCAGACTGAAGTGCATTTATTTTGATTTAAAATCGATTTCGATCAATTTTTTTAGCTGGGATTTAAGATCAATTTAAATCGATTTTAAATCGATCCAAATAAATCTTCATCTTTTTTATTTAATCTTCGTACTTTTTTCATACTAACCTCGATCTAAATTTAATCAACGTACTTTTTTCATACTATAATCGATGTAAATTTAATCAACGTGCTTTTTTCATACTAAAATCGATCCTAATCCACTTTTGTCAGTGCGGGTTCCCTTTTGTGTTACACCTTGTTATTTGTAAACAACCGCGTATAAGCAACCCAGTAGCAAATAAGAGAAAAAACTTATCAACTTCTGAGCCACCATGATACTCGAGAAAATCGAAAAAGCTCAGCTATGAAAGACAGGTCTCTCGAAAAAGCTACTATAACAGCAAGGTTATTCATAGACTAATCTCACACCGTATAGTTTGGAAACTGAATTTTTCCACTCAACTTGCTTTTTGAAATAATTGTAAATGCAATGTGTTGCTCTGGAAAAGTTTTAAAACCAAAATAGGAGTTTCACAATAATATATTTTCCAAATCTATCAAGTGGTCGGGAATTATCAGTACTCAAAGTTTAAATTTGCCAGTTTTTTACCTAAATTTTTGCTCCTTGGTGGCCGAGGTTTTACACTTACAGGCTAACAACACCAAAATTTACTTGGATAAAATACTGCGTTGCTTATCTGAATCTAACTTTCCAATTATTTCCAATTAGATTAACAATTTGAGCCATCACAAGATACGACTTGTTCATAAGGGACCTGGTCATTTTCAGAGACCCTTCTATTACAGTTGTACCCATGAATGAAGACTTCTTCAAGGAAAAAACCTCCGTGTAGCCGATTTCAGTTTACCCGCACTGACAAAAATGGTTTTCGGTTGATTCGAATTGATTTTAAATCGATTTTAAATCGATCCAAATTGATTAACCATGTACAGTTCGAGTAACCATGTTTTTATTTTAAGTCAAAACTGATAGGTGGATAAGAATTTGGGGGAGGGGGGGTGCGGGCTAAGAATTGGTGGGGGGGGGGGCATAGGGGACGGTTGATCTTGTTTTACAAGCTTTTTAGTCAATTTTGGTATTTGTAACGACACGTAACAAAAATTTTCATTTTTTGAAACTGTCATTTGAAAATTTGAAGAAAAAAAAAGAAGTGAAAAAAAATCGATTTAAATAGATTTCAAATTGATTTGCATCGATTTCATTCTAGCTCAGATTTAAGATCCATTCAAATCGATTTAAAATTGACTGGAGTCGATTTTTTTAGCGTTGAAATTAAATCGAATTAAAATCGATCCAAACTGATCTGAAATTTTTGTTTTGATTAACTTAATTGTTTTTACAACTTGAATCGATTTCAATTTAATCTGCATACTTTTTTCATACTAAAATCGAAATGCCAAAATTTGAAGCATCGCACATTGCATAAAATGGTTGATTTGGATCTGAGATTGTCTTTGAAATTTGTTCATTGAGAAGTTTTTTGATTTCTTCAAATCGTGTTTGGTGTTCTGTTGTCCATTCAAATATATTATATAAATTAGTTTTTTAGTTTTAATAAAACTATTAACGGGCTAGTTAAAAAGTCGAATTTTGTCTGAAGAAAAAACCCACCCCGAGCACAAATATTCCGTTTCTTTCGTATCGATAGTCGGAACAACAAACTTAAGAGTTTTTTTATTCCCTCATCCGAAGTCAATGCACGAATTACTAGTTTTTGTTAATCTTGTAATTGAAGTTTAAAAAATTATTTTTTCTGTAAAATTTTGCTGATCTGTTATCAGTACTTTAATTTGAGTATAAAAATAAATTTATTTTGTCTGATATCAATGCTTTTATTTTTTCTGAAAAAAAAATTCCTACAATGAGTTCAGTTTCTTTTTAAATTCTATATCGTGAGATAAATTGTTTTTTATACCTAATTTTTCAGTTTGATTCTGAAGTCAGATTTGGTTTCACTTCTGAAGTCAGATTTGGTCTCAAGTTAAGTCAGGCTTCAATTTAATCAAAATCAGCTTCTTCAAAGTTATAAAATCTGAGTTATTTTTGGTTTTAATTTAAAGTATTATTGAACGGAACAGCAGAAAATGAATTTGTTGAAAGAAGAAAAGCAGCAAAGGTTGGAAGAGAAAAACTGAGTCAAACTGAAAAAAAAAAACAAGTTATGATCTGTAGAAGATTTGGATATAAAAGAAATTTTGACTTTTATGGTTATAGTAATACAAAGAAAAGTGTTATCTGAGAAAGTTTGTGATTTTACATTTGAAATTGAGTTGAACGAAACACTATTGCTATGCCGTACAAGGAAATTATTGAGGCTAAGTCGTTACTCGGGTTAGATTTTCTTCAACTAATTTTTCTGATGATGATTGGTTGCAATTTGACAAATATTCTTAAAATTGAGGTCTCTAAAATTGATGATTTCATACACACATTAGGATATCTGTATAATTGCCATAATGAAAACCCTATTTGCGATTATGAAATTTTTTTTTTGGTTTTTTTTTACGCTGAATAATTTCATTTAAAGAATAAAAAACAAAAAAGGAGCAATACTTTTTTTTCTATTTTGCAGAGAGAAAACTGTTCGCTCATAGAGATCTAATTGACAAGAAACCTTGCCATTTTGGAATAATCTCAAGAATGCAATAAATAATAAAAAAACTTAAATGATAATTTCTACATTTTGTTTTGTGTAATATTTGCTTCATGGAAAATCAACGTTTGTATTAAAAAAAAATTTTTAACGAAAGGAAAGAATACCTTATCAGCACGAAATGAAGGTAAGCTCCTGCTTATTTGTGCTTACGGTTGGGTTGTATCAAAATCGTTTTTGTTTCATTTTCTTCGACTTTTAGAAATAAATCGTTAAGATTAGCGGTGGGAAAATTGTTTCCAAACCCAAAAAACACATGCAGTGCAAAACGAGCGCCGTCATTTATTTGGCTTTGAAATCTGAGCTTCATGCTGATGAGACTTCCTGGATCGTAATTTAGTGTGAAATATTTCCAGCGATTTATGAATATATACGTTAGGTTCATTTCACTCTCGTAATGGTAATTAGAATTGTCGTAATCTGGGCCATTCGTTGTTTCGTTCCCCACTTTCAATGGCATATACGCCAACCCTCTGCAGAGCATC